ACATGTATATTTAAGATATCATCCATATATGTTGATACGTATGCAATAAAAGTGTAAATATTTTGTAAGTCTTTATTATGTATCAAATAACATTAGAATAAGATAATGTTTGATATTGTAAATTTTTCTAACTAGGGATGTTTGCCAAATAATCTTTCACTGTAGAAGCATCTAACCTCATAAATCCATTTTCATTACTAATACCAATCTCAATATTTTCTTCTGTCATTTTGCCTTCAAAACCTTCTTTTAATGTCAAATGGCAGTGTGGACAGCATCATCTAATTCTAAATCAGAACTATAACGTTTCTCTAAAAATGTTTTTCCATTAATGTGATTTTTGCCCATTGCTGTAGATTTCCAAGCAAAATATGATCCTGATGGATCACACTGAAAAACGTAAGTTTTCCATCATCCCAACCACAAATTAGGAGTGATACTCCAAAAGGTCGAACTCCTCCTGAATGAGTATATTCTTGCATTACAGTAGATATTCGCTGCACCAATTGCACAGTCGGTATGTGCTCCCCATTCGCCAAATAATATTGCTGGGCCATTCTCCGTGCCTTTTTAACCAATAATCTGTAATCGGGGCCTAAACCAGAATACACCATACCGATGTACTTAGATATTTCTTCAATTTTGTGAATAGTATTCTCTTCATATAGTACCGACTTATGCTTATTTTCTGTTGCTAAAACCACCCCATTGCTTGCTGAAATATTATCACATTTGATGAATTTAGCGTTATCGTAATTAAGTGATATACTACTCAGCTCTTTGTGAGATTTAAAATAATATTTAATAACCTTAAATTTTAAAGTTACAACCTTTTATGGCAACTGATGGGGCCCCAGCCGCCACTGCAGCGAGAGCATATTCAATTTGCACTAATTTCCCCGAAGGGCTAAAAGTGGTTAACGAAAAACTGTATCTCTCAGATGTCATTATGCACAATCACTAAGCTTTAAGCGTTTAGGAATCACAAACAACTCAGCACTATTCCGGCACGAATTGAAGTTGGCGTTTGAATGCGGTTTGACAGAACAAAACAAAACAACTCTTGCCAACATTAAAATAAAATAATTGTTTCAGCGTATTTCATAGAATTCAAAATTATTGTAAAGTAGAAGCTATTATAAACAAATAATACCGTATTTTATATATATATATATATATATATATAGTGTAAATGAAACAAATATATGTATTGGGAAATTAATTATGTTTTTGAAGTTAAACTTCTTCAGGTGCGACTAGGGTGTAAATCCGTACAAATGCAACGGAAGTGCGTTACGGACATAAGATAAGAGTCAAGTGCCAATGACTCGTCATTCGTTCTATACAGGTCGATTGTGATAAGTCGTCGCGTATGTGAATAGAGATCTGTCGTTGTATGCGTACTGATATCAACAAGGACATTGGCATAGATGAATAAACATTTTAAAGTTACTTTGTAGTACAAATGTTGATTTAATGAAAAATGCCTGAATCAGAAGAATATTTTACCTGCTCCTTAGAAATTATTTCTATATTATTCATAGTTTCTATAAATCTTTGAAGTTATTGAAATGGAAAATATTTTTTAGGCAAAACATATATTACAGCTGTTCAGAGAATGAGATTATACCGATGGTGAAACAGTAACAAAAATACCATCAGTCAATGAATGCATGTTAATTTTAATTACACAAAGTTCTTCAAACACAATTATTACATGAGTGGAATTGCGAAAGCAATATTTGTTTAGACGTTTTTTAATATAATCCACTGTGTCAACGAATATTATAGAGTTTATTAATCAGCAGTTACTTCATTTCTCTAATGAAGGTTCATTTCTAAATGCTAATTGCAATGACAAACCGATCATGTCATATTTGAAGTATGACTTTAATTACATAATTGTTTTTAAATATTATACATATTTTTATTGCTATTATAAATATATAATTATAATTATCATTATATAAATGTGTATAATGGTTGGCACTAATGAATATATGCATCACGAGTGTTACCATATTACTAGTATACATTATTCAATATTGTTATATGATGCATTTATTTTTACTTAAATGCCATCTTGTACAGTGGCAAATAAGTTTTACTTCAATCGCATGTGAACCTTGCACGCACTCTTTTTTATTATTGTTACTATATTATTACTTTTAGTGATGCCAAACATCACTAAACATTATTAATTAATTAGAAAAATAATTTATTCAACTATGACACAATTGAGGATTATTTTGCGAAAATATTGGAAAACAATGAATTCTGATCAATTTACAGCTCTAAATTATAGCACTTTATTCAAAACAACAATCCCATTATGATCTTAAATGTATGTTAGATTTTATATTTTACTTTGGAAATAACACATGATAATATTTTCTTCAAATTATTATTGTTTGATACTATCATGTTGTAGTTTTTCAAGTCTTATTGATAGATTTAGCAGATAAATATGACAAGCTATTTATGCAGATAAAATATGGCATTGTGACAAATAAAAATTATTACTTCCTGGATGAAATCAGTGTAACACTTTTATTTTAATCAATATGTTTACTATCTATTATCATATATTAATTTTTTACAACTTTTCTTGCTATCTTATGACTACCTAACTTCTTTTTAAATGGTTTTGCATTCCTCAGGTTATTGAGTATTTATATTTGACAACTTTTTTCAACTCTCTTCTTGTGTCATTAAAAGTATCTTTGCCACCATTAGAAGAAAATGTTGTAAAGAATTTGATACCCTCTATAATAAATACATTCATTATTATAACTGAATTAGCAATCAATAAAAATGTAACTAACCACTCAGTCTTTGATCGCCTTTTATGAAAAAAAAATTTTCTCTCCATACGCCTGTACTAGAAATGTGGCCAATATCATGATTTATTAATTCCTTTTTTGACTTCAATGTTCCATTAGTTTCTTCTTCAGAGTCGGAAGTATCATATCGAAATGGATTTCTCCGGGAGTCTAAAGGATTGTCCATTTTCTGCTGCACTTTTTGAAACGTACTACCAGCGTTTTTATCTAAATCTACTGCTTCTATTATAATATAATAAAACTACATTATATGTAAATAAAAAGCAAGTATATGTACTTATGTGAACTTATGTAAATAATATATATATATATATATATATATATATAAACAAAGTCCAGTAATCAGGCATAACATCAATAAAAAACATGAATTTCTTTGAAATATTTATTTTAAATCCAAATGTTTCGGATATAATCCTAACCTTCATTCAGTGGAAACTAAAAATAAAATTAAAAACTAAAGCAATTGAATTGGAGTGAAAAGAAAAAATAAAAAGAGTAAATAGTACTTACAATTAGTTAATCTTAGAGTTAAATTGGAAGATTTTAATAATCCATGGTCAGGATATGGTAATGCACTACACTATGTATTATAAACATTAAACTTGTAATTACACAACATTTTCACAAAATACTAATTTGAAAAATCGCAAATAGTATTTTATAGTTTTAAATTTTTGAAAGAAATTCATGTTTTTTATCGATATTATGCCCGATTACTAGACTTTGTTAATACATATGTCAACATCAAATTCAGAATCATACAAAATATATATATATATATATATATATATATATATATATATATATATATACACCTAAGTCTGTTTTTACACGGAGATTGGTTCCAGAAGAAGCCGTGTAAAAAAAGACATTGATCTTATACAAAAATGGGTGGTTTGTCCTACTCTCTAAAACCTCTTAAAATTAGTGAAAAACAAGAATTTTCAAGAACAAGAATTCATGTTTATTTTAATAATAATTCCCCTAAATTAGTGCTATTCACATTTGCTTTGACCAGTAAAAATTGTTTGTACGCACTAAAGGGGAATTTACTTAAATCTTTAAGCTAGTGTTCGCAAACTATCGATACTATCGATGGTTTCAGACTTTTTTCTTTCATAAATACTTTTTTTTGATATGAACATTCTTCGCAAAAATTAAATTTGACAAAAAAATTTAAGTACATAAAATTTCAAATCGTGCTAAATGGAATAAAATCGTGTAAAAAAATTAAAAATATTCAAATATCAAATCGTGTTATATCAAAACCGTGTACAAAAAGACCGTGTAAAAACAGACTTAGGTGTATATATTTATATATATATATAAACAAAATTCATTACCTTCTTCTAAATCAGCTTTTCCAAACATAGATAATAAACTAAATCCAGTATTTTCTTTAATAGCTTCCTTCAAGTTTTCAGAAACAGAATAGAACTTTTGATTTGATACTAATGGTTCTTTATCATTAGTTGAATTATCATCAATTGCTTTATCATCAATTTCAGATATTACTTTTGAATTTGACTTTGTATTTTTTTCATTTTTATTTAAAAATTTATTATGATCAGGTTTTGATGGATCATATCGAAGCATTGATTTCATCTTGATATCTTTATTAATTTGATCTTTGTTATAATCGATCCTTTTTCCAAGAATGTTTTCTAATATTTCAAATTGATGCTTTTTTTCATTTTCTAAGTTTTCTGTGTCTGGTACATCATTATTTTTTAATTCAGTTGTATCATCTTGCTCCAAAAAGTGAGAATCCATTGTGAAACGTTTATCATAACCAAATGTTGATTGCAGTTTCAATAATTTTTTACCCTCTTTGCCTAGAAATATCATTTTATATAATTCATTATGTTACTATTAGAAGTTCATCTTTTATCAATAAATTAATCCAGCATACAAATCCTACTATTCAAGCGATTCACAGACTGTTAAGAAGACTAAGCAAGAAATGGCCTTCCGATTTACCAAACACCTAGCCCAATGTCTGCACGCGCCCTGACTTAGTACGCGGTATACATCCTCACGTCATAGTTCATTTATGTTATTATTTTTGTATTACTGTTTTTATTTGTAACTTCTTTCATTTTATATTCAATTTATTGTATTTTTTTTGCACATATCAATTTTGTAAGTAAGACATTAAAGTCTTCATTAACAAAAATAAATTATAACAAAAAGAAAAAAATTATGTTATTACTGGTAAATTCATTTGCATTAGTAGTAAAAAATCATATGAGGATTATTTGTTAGAAATTTTGTTCAGATATAAGCATCTTACAATTTTGTTATAGTATGTTAAAGTATCAAAGCAAAGCTTTTAAGCATTTTTTACAAAGTTAACAATATTGAAAATAATTGGTTTTTCAAAATTTGGCTTTTGTTGCTGTCTTTATTTAGCATATAATTTTCAGCAAGTTTTGTTTGACCACATGGAATGATCTGTGTCTTCCAATGCACTATGCCAATGCAATAAGCAAACTGAGTGTATATATGGTTAATTAAAATTGAACATATATATATATATATATATATATATATATATATATACACAATGTAAATACACATACACATAATGTAAATTTTTATATCAAATAGTTAGACAAAATGTATTCATTGGTAAAAACTTTATAATACTGTAATACACCGCTTAACACAGTTTTGTTTAGCGCTGTTTCAGTTTACCGCTCTTTTATTCAAGTCAATCTCTGCAGCAACTAGAATTATCTGTTCTAGAAATAATATGATAGAGGAAATAGAAAAATTATATAGATTGACGACAAAATTGACCGCCATGTCATTAAGCCAATATTCCTCTACTTTGATGGAACGTATTCCCGCATTAAGTGGTATTACTGTATACCTACCTTCAAATTGTTCTTTTAAATCAAATTGGTAATTTTCTTCATCCTCATTTTCATTTTCATCGAATAAAGCAGTCTTCCTTTTTTTGATTTTCTACTGACAGAACCATTTACATCATTATTATTCTCCATATTATCATCACAAAAAACTATTTTATTCTTTGGAGTTACATCCTAAGGATTCAATAAATAATGAGTATAATTGATCCACCCAAATAATGTAACATATACAATACAACTACATTGAATTACAATTTTTAGAAAACTTTTCTGCAAAAGCATTTTTTGCTTGTTATACTGTTCCTTTTTCTCTTGCAAGGATTGTATTCTTTTTTGTTCGGCGAGCGTAGACTGTGGTGTTAAATTTTTCTTATGAGGCACATTGTTCTGTGAAACTATTGCCGGGCCATATGTAGGAATTTTTAATTTCTATAAAAAATTGGAATCAAATGTAAAATAACATATTATTTACATGTAAAATTATGTGATTACCTCTGGGTTCAAAAATGAGTTATGCTTATTAGATTTAATAATGAAACTATTGTCATCAACAGGATCATCAACAGAATCAACAGTTTTCTTATCATTTCTAGGTTTTTCACTTTTTCCCTAATAAAAAATATAATATAAATAAAAGACAGTATTAACAGATTAAGTAAAAGATTATATATGTAGGTATAATACTTGTTCTGGTTCTGAATCTGAAGAACTGCTAGAACTTTCTGAGCTTTCACTATCTTGTCCCTCTTTTACTATGGTAGTTTTATTTTGTTTTACTGGTACAGGCAGTGTTTTTGAAAGTTGCTGGATGGGTTGCTCAATAATTTCATCATTTTTTTCTATACTTTTATTCAATTTTTTACTCAACAATTTCGCTTCCAATCTTTCTCGTTGAAGCTGTTCAAGAAAACTTTCTTTGGCTAAAGCGACTTTAAGAAATTTTCCTTTCCACTCTTGTTCTGAAAATTCTTGTATACCTAGACAATTTTAAAAACAAAACATATAAAATCATGTTGAAAATAACGAAAAATTATAGAAGGGGACATATCTAACATTTATTTAAACTCCACGTATCTATATCCATATTTATAAAAGCAAAAGTGTTGGCTTGGCCTTCATTCAAATTATCTTTTTTCTGCTTAATTTCAACATTTGTCACATTTCCATAAGCAGAAAATTCATGCCGAATATCGTCTTCATTTATATCTGTAGGTAAATTTCCTACAAAAATCCGTCTATTCGTAGCCATTTTTATTAAACACAATCTAATAATAATTTCTCTAAAATCAAATAATGCAAACTCTAATTAATTATAAAACAAATAACATATTTAACCAATAACAAAAAAGTTGTGGATCATGGATCATATCATAACCCCGTCAAATAAGCACGTGTTGTTTTTTGACAAGTGAAGCAATACAAATTTTGACAAGTGAAGTTTGTTAAATTGTCAAATAATAATAATGGACACCAACTGCATAACTTTCGTGAAATTTGCCATAGATTCAGAGCGGTAGGGAAAGTTACGACCGCTACGGCGCGATGGCGCTTTAATTGCATATCGCTCAGCAGCCCCGCGCTCATAAATGCATTCAAATTAAAGCGCCAAAATTAGAAATGAAAGAAATGAACAAAAATTGGCAAATTCGCGAACTGATGATATTAGCGCATAAATTTTCATAAAAAAGGAAATGCAAGAAGCCATTTTTTAAAGAAATATATAATAAATCCCCAATTGAATTAATATATTTATCGCTTTATACCTCTTAACTATTAAATTAAACTTACAAAAAAACCTTTTTTTTGTTTTTGTTTATAACACTTAATGATGATTTTGGCATACCTTTGAAACCATTGATGAAAATGTGTGTAGTAGATATAAATTATGAAAGGGATTCATTTATTTAAAAGAATAAAAAAAAATAATAATAAAAGCAATGGTGTGGGGAGCATGTATTTAGGAAAGGTAGATTCAGCATTTGATTAGCATGAATCCTCCATGTATTAAGTTTTGTGCAATGTATGTCCAGCAGTAGAAATAAAGAAGTGCAAAAAAAGGTTTTTGGTGTTTATATAATTATTAGCATTGTCAACATTAATAATAATCAGTATAATCAATGCTACTAAACTTTTAAACACTGATGTTGAAGTTTTTCAAAATTTATCTAAATTTCTTTTGATGTAATGTTTTTCAATAATACAATATAATTATTTACTAGCATTATACAAATATTACTCATCAACTTTTATTAGGTACTATTGAATGTGTCACACAACTCAGTAGCCTGTCCCATCAATGTTCTTAAAAAAAAAAAAACTTAAAATTGTTCATTGTTCAACATATTTCAGATTTGAATAAATATATAAATACTGTAAATAATTTTTTGGTAATTACATTTAGTATTAAAAACTCTTATTCTCATATTTAAAATCTCAATGCATTTGATAGTTTTTATTCCTCAAAGATTTGTTCATGAAACAGCAATTGCCTTAAGGCACAATGCTATACACTAGTTATTAAAATAATTTTTCTTAAAGTTATAATCTCATTTGTGACTTCCTTGTATATACAATTGACATCATATATATATATATATATATATATATATATATATATATATATATATATTGAAAGTAACTAGCAGCCTATTCGTCGAAATTAAAAATGTAATAAAGTATTTAAACCTTTTATTTATGTTTTGACACCAGGTGCGTGCCATCACTCAGCAACTGCAATAAATCAGGTGTCAAAAAGTATAAATAAAAGGTTTAAATACTTTTTTACATTTTTTATTTTGACGAATGGGCTGCTAGTTACTTTGGAATATGTTTCATCGTCGAAAAAACTATCAAGATATATATATATATATATATATATATATATTTTGTTTGACACTGAATATGTTAAAATTACATATATATATATATATATATATATATATATATAAATTTGTTTCCTAAGTAAATTGGTTACTATTATTTTTTGAAAATATATTCAATGTCAAACAATAAAAAAAAATATAAGTACAAAATTTCACATCATTAATGGTTATACATTTATACACTGATTTTTATCTTCATCAATGTTGACCACAAACATTTTATTTAGCAATCCATCACCCAAGTACACTTTACTATTGCTTGATAATAAACTTTCATATCGTTTTAACTCTAAATATTCTTTAGTGAGAAGAATTTTGTTTGCTTCTGCTTTTCTAGATGATTCATAAAACTCAGAATCAACACGAGTTTTTTCTCGTGCTTGTTTTATTTCATTTTCAATCAGTTCAATGCGCTGCAATGATTCGGCCTCCAATATTTTTTGTTCATTGACAATCTTAGCAACTTCTGCTTGTTTTTTAGCCTCAATTATAGATCGCATTCGTTCTGTTTCAGCTTCTTTTTCCACTACCTAATTTGCATTCACCAAATTATTTTCTATTTATTCATTACAAATATCATAAATATGGAATTTATGAACAAATTAGAAATAATTAATTGAATTAGATTGTATTAAACGCAAAATTTTTAATGCCAAATAAATAAATTAAACTTGCACTTCTAAGTGCATTAATATTAGAGAAAGATTAAATTAACTGCATGCATTATCAATAAATTTTGAAGATAATTTCATAAAATCCTTAAATAATATGGTTATATATATCCTTCACACCATTCAATAAGAAATTTAAAACTGTGTCACATAATTTTTAACAAAGATCGTACATATATACCTTTTGATGTTGTATCGAAATGAGAAGCTTAGTTTTTTCTCCTTCCATCATTTCATAATTCTTTCGAATAGTTTCAGGTATCTTAGGTTTAGTAACACGCACTCCTTGTATAATTAAACCAGAGGCCATTTCATTTAAATCCTTTTGCAAAGCCTAAAATCATATAAAAGTTTTAAATTTCTCTATTGTAAACTATTACTTTGGATCGGAAACATATATATTTGTATACTCTTTTTAGGTTCCCATCGATCTGATCAAAATAATCAATATAAACTTCATGTAAAGTATGAACACTGCAGAATTTATTGAGCTCATGATGAACTTTGTCAAAAATAAGAACTTTATCATAGTCAACAGTATAATTTCTAACAATATCATAAACTGAAAAAATATTAAGAAATAGCAAACTTTTATAATATTTAAATGCATTGATTCCATTGATTATACCGCTGTTAGAATTAAGTATATTAACAACTTCTATTCGGTCAAAGTAAATTATTACACCACCACTTGTGCCACATGCCACATTTTTCACTTCATCAGTCTGTATTGTTACCTAAATCAATTTAAATTTTTAATATCATTTTTTTTTTTTAAATAGATGCCACTAGTTCTTTACATACCTGCACAGACTTATACGATGTTAGAAAAGGTAACATCAAATGAAAACCTGGGCTGCTAATTTGTTGCAATAATGCACCACCCTGTAAATTTCCAATTATTATTTTATTTTGACCAGAGTAGATGTCAGTAGATTAATAACACGTAATTAAATCATTTTGAACCTATTATGTAAAAATTTTATTTCCTCTTACTTCTAATAAGTAATTTATTTATCAAGCCATATAGAAGTAACTTCTATAAATGTTGCATAAGTTTTGTGTTCACTTTTTGAAAGAACAGAGCGCCCGATTTGAGTAATTCAAAAAATATTATTTGTATAGACGAACTGAACACATATGCACATCAAATTATCAGATATTTTATAGACCTTTTAATAAAAAGTATAAATTTTGTGTATATTTCTATGGCTTCCGTACCAATGTTTATCCGTTAGTCTATGATGCGGCGCTTATGCGCTTCGATATTTCATCTCTAAAACAGCTATGGAACACGATTGCTTTAGAAAAAGTTCAAAATTTTCAAAAGATTTCAAAATAGAAAAATAAATTTAAATTTTTCAAATATTCAAATATATTCAAAAATTTCAATTTCTCAAAAACCTAATTTTTTCAAACTTCGAAAAATTTTAAAGCTGTTTTAAAAATTTTAATTGTCGGTATGGGAAGTGACATCAATTTTTTTTAAGGCACAATGCCATGTAGCACTAGTTGTCATTTTGTTTTCTCTTTATAAAATTATTTTAACATTTATTTACATAAATATTTGGATATCAGAATGACAAGACATTCTAATACCTAGTTTAGCATGTTCCTCATGTAATTAACTATATTATATTCCTAAACATTTATATTTCATACCCTGAAGTAAACACCAACATGTCCTTCTTCCACCTTATGCAAAGAATAATTAACACAGACTATTGTAACTAAAACTATAAATAATGGAACAGTAACTTGATCAGACATAATTGTTATTATGATATTATAACATTTCCTTCTGCTATTGTTTTGTTCTGCTTTTGCGGTGCTTGCTCGTAATTATAATGTAATGCTGAGATCTATAATATCACCTACAATTTTAAGATACGGTACAGATTATTCAAATATTTGTTCTTTAAAGTCAGAGATAAATAATATAACAGGTTATATTTTTACGTTGATATCATTCATAATTCTGCATGATGAAGACATGTATATTTTTTCACATTATGCAATCTATTTCAGTTAATTTTAAATACTAAATAAAAATAATAACGAAATAAAATAAATACGCATTCTCTAACTGCGAGTTTCGGGTAGATCAGGTTAAACTTAATCCATTAGAGCATTAGAGATTAGCCAATATACAATCGCTCGTTTCGGCTGTCAATTTGACAGTCGATTCGAAAATCAAACAAATACCAACCGCCAAATGTGTCTTGTCGAGTATGGCGCGCAATTGTATTAATTTGAAAAAAAAAATAAAAATCAAAATTTTTGTAGTAGTCAGCCTAAACCAAGGGCGAGCAACCTTTTTAATTCACGGGCCAATTTAAATTTTAAAATTTTATGGCGGGCCGCGCGTAATTTATATATATACTAGCTGACCCGGCAAAAAATTTAGCCACAAGGAATATTTCTAGAAAATTATTAGTATAAAAAATAAGTAACTAATTCTGAATGTATAAATATGCAGTATATAAATGAAAAAGGCAGCTAACACAAATTACATTGATAATTTACCCAATCCAACACTAAAATACAAACTTTTATTTTTGAATTATGTTATACTATGCTTTACAAATCGAGTGAGATTTCAATAACTCTGAAAAAAATTCCAGTTTTCTCTCAAAAACAAAAACAATTTTTTGAATAAAATTGAAGCTTTTTCATAAACTAAAAAAATTGACAAAATTAGCCCTCAAAGCCGTGTTTGATAAAATATCTAGAAAAAGAATCTGTGGTTGAGAAATGCTTGCCGGGCCGCAGAAAAATTTCCGGCCGCAGAAAAATCAGTAGTCAGCGCTAAAGCGGCTAAGAAAGCAGACCAAGCTCGGAAAAATATGATTATTTATTATTATTATTTAATTTTTTTTTACAATCATATTGTCAATTCGAGCATGACGATGAGAATCATTGTGAACAGCTTTGTGAATGACGTCTTCGAGAGGATAGCGGTCGAGGCGTCGCGTTTTGCTCACTACAATAACTGCTCCATTAATTGAATATATTAATTACAATTTGGGAAATTCAGGCAACAGTCCGGCACTTGCCTCCCGGCGAGCTGGCAAAACACGTCGTTGGCCAAAGTACTAAAGCCGTAACCAAGTACAATAGCTCGAAGTAAAATTTATGAAGATTTTGTGATGCAACTTTTGTTCTGTTGACAAATCAAGTATGTACTTATATATATATATGTACCATCCATTTCCTTTTCTGAAAAGAATAATTGAAATAATTTAGAATAATCATTATTATTTATGTACTTTTAATTTTTACAAGAAAAACTATGTGAAATAATTGTGCAAGACTTGTATTCAATTTGAACACATTTCTTAAAAACATTTATAATGCAAAATAAAATTCGGATTTATAATAAATGTCATATAAGCTTCATTACTGGCATCGATGTTCTCTGTGATTTCAAATAAAATAGATATAATCTCCAAATTTAGCTATATACTAAGAAAATGCTTATTGACAATAGGCTGAGGGCAGATGATCAATACAAAAATGTATAGTCTGTGTATCAAACAATCTTTCCTTTTCACCAAAATAATAATGAGAACAACCAGCCACTGAAGTAGTAGCTTAGTCTATATTTAATTGCTTTGTAAATAAAAAAAAAAATTACATACATTTGAAAAAATCAAGTAAAATACTTATTTTTCTTTCCTAATAACACAAACATAATTTTAACCTATTTAGAATTACCAAACATATTAATCATTTTGTTTAAAATTCAAGAGTTTGATATCCATGAACTGCATTTGGAACTGTTGAACTTCCTCCGAAGTAGCAGTATATTTCATATTATGGTACATTTTATTCAAACATTCACTTTGATGATTCTTTATATATTCAAAACAATGCCTCATTGTTGCTCCTGTGTACAAAGTTGTTAAATGTATGGGTTTCGATTCTAGCTGTTAAAAATAAAAACAATTTTGGATATATTACAATTTATGTGTTTTGTAATACAGTTTTAGTCATTTGATAAAAATGTAAGGAGAAATAGCATAGAAATATATATTAAGAATAAAACAAAATTATAATCTTGTAATGGAAAGGCAAAGGAAAATAAAATATAAATTATATTTCAATAGAAAAAAATTAAAGCAAACTGAAAAAGAATAATAAGAATTACATACTTTGGTAATAAATGGCAATGAGCTAGCAACTAATCTATGAGGACCATGCCGAACTCTTATTATTGCAATGCGGGTCATTTCATTGCAATATTTTGTAACAAAACCAGCTCGAATAGCAGCAACTCCAAAATCACCATGCAATTTTTGCACAATTTCTAATATAGAATTATGTAATGAAGATGCTTTTAAATCCAATGAATTATCAATGCCTTTGTAATCTGGATTTACTTCGATTACAAAATATCTACGAATTTATAAACAATTAAATAATGTTATATATGATGAATTTTAAAAATACACAGCGTATTAGAAATACAATCGATTGAATATTTTTATATATTGACTATGCATGTTACCTGTTTTTAAAACGAACCATAACGAAGTGTTTCGTTAATATTTTAACCCTTCAATTTATTGAAATTATTGTTTGTTTTCTTATCTTTCTAACCTCGTCGGATGAAAACTGTATGCCGTTTGACACAACACACACACTAACACAGTAACACGCTTGAAGAATCTCCCATCTGCGGCGACAGCGACTTGGCATTTGAGTTTGACAGAAAGTGTCATAGTGGTACCAAAATTAACTTATTTATTTGTGCTAAATTAAATTTGATATAACAGATTTAATTATAAACGATGGCGAGACAAAATACTAGATTAGATACTAAGAAAGTGGTAAGAGACCTTTATCATACAAAAATTAAACGTCATTTTCATTAATTATTATTTAAAACAAAATTAAGAATGCAGAGTTGCTGACTTTAACTTATGGAGCTCTTGTATCACAAATGATTAAAGATTTTGATAATATAGAAGATGTAAATAAACAACTAGAAAGAATTGGATATAATATGGGAGTAAGGCTGATTGAAGACTTTTTAGCCAAAACTGGTTACGGTCGATGTTTGGATATGCGAGACACAGCTGATAAAATACAACAAGCATTCAGGTAACTAATTATAAAAATGAAATTTGCAGTTTGTAGTTCTCTGATATCTCCCTTCCGCTTTTTTGCTCTTGGTTTATAATACAAAAAGGCGGAAGGGAGATATTTGACAACCTTATATATATATATATATATATATATATATATATATATGCATTTAAGACATTTATTAACAAAACTTTATCCATTATCTATTTGTAGGATGTATTTGGGCATTCAGCCTACGCTTTCTTCATGGTCTAGTGGTGGAGATGAGTTTTCTTTGTTATTTGATAGTGCACCTTTAACAGAATTTGTTGAGTTGCCAATGGAATACGTAAATACCTTGAGATATAGTGCAGTTTTATGTGGTGCAATACGCGGTGCTCTAGAAATGGTACAACTGGAAGTGCTATGTTGGTTTGTTCAGGTATTTATTGCCATATAATCAAGTATTCATATAAATAATAAAAAACTAATGATAGAAAACAAATAATACTTTTATAGGATCAACTAAAAGGTGATAATACCACAGAACTACGTGTGAAATATGTGAGGCGCTTGGAAGATGCTATACCTGCTGGAGAGGATTAAGTTTAACGTATTCAATACCTAAGTTCAAATTATTATATATATATATATATATATATATATACCTATAAAAATATCTTTCATTGCATATTAAATAAATAAATAACTAGATCTCTATCTATATAAAATTCTGTTTTTTTTAATTAAATTATAGCACACACACTATATATATATATATATATATATATATATATATATATATATACACTAACACATATATACAGTAGAAGACCCAGCATAGCTTTTCTTCGTTTAGTATATACTCTTATTTCATCCTAAAGAATTTCACCAAAATATGGGCAAAGTAGCACAGTTAGAATCAAACCGCATTATATGAGCTAAATATTGAATATGGCAAAGAAATAGTGTAAGAGTAAATGATGTTAGAGTATATGAAACAATCAACTAACCAATAAGGAAAAAAATAGTAGTAGTGATTTTGAAAAAACGTTTTCTTTCAAATATTTCAACACATTCTGTATATATTTCATACTTATATTTTTATTAATAAATATTAATATGAAGGAAAAATATGGTGTTTCATATTTTTGTGTTTAAATATCCCCATTATTTCTTGATACTGCATAATATTACTGCATTTAAATTATTTCGATTCATCATAACCTCGAGAACAACTGTATCAAAACAGAGAGAAGTACCACTTTAAATCCCTCTATAAATTTGTGGAAAAATCAGGATGCTCATGTCAAAAACCAAAAAATATAAAAAATCAGACTTACTGTAGACTAAATTAAAAATTATTTATATTTATTATTTAGTAATTTAACATATAAAACATCACAATCTTCATAATTCGCCACGCTCTCAGCGGCAGCCTTGTCTAAATGTCTACATTTTTTACTTCCTACTTTCTACATAAGAATAATCCTAACTCTAACTTTTAACTTAACTTAATATAACTTTTATTTTATGATCTATAACAATCACTAGTCATTTGTGCGCAAATAGATGATAGAGACCATATTATTATATCGTCTAGGATTGAGATTCAGTTTATAGTTGATACTAACCAACTAACTATATTATTTCAGCTGCTTAGTTTTTTAACGTCACCAGGTCCCCATCTGTCATTAGCACTTAAATATTGAAATGAAATTAATTGTGTTGACCGTTTCATTTCGTGTAACCGAAGTATAACCGCAACAAAACCTAACGAATCATGACTTCATCATTATTATATTGTCTAGGATCTGGTCTGTCCGATCCGCTGATCTGTCAAAAACATACTTAGGCAAAAAGTTTATGGTTTGGATACTTCACTGCATAGATAAATAAGCTTCACTGTGTGTTGGGTGTGTTGGTACCTCTGAATTACAAGCGCTCGGCTCAAGGTTTGTTTACCAGTCGTCGGAAATTTCAATTCACAAGTTGCAAATTGGTTATGTTTTACAAGAGTGCTATGAAAAATAAAAAAAAGTCATAACAAAATTATTTAACAAAACACAAAACAAGTAAGAAAATTTATTCACGAAAGTAACAAAAATATTGAGATTTTTAGAAAATAGCAGATATTTAAAATTAAAGTAACTCTTATTTGTTTTCGTTTATATGAATGCATGTAATTTGTTTTTACTATATTTACATTTGGATCAGTAACATGAATCTTTTTTAGTTGATCTACTGCGACACTTCAAGTTCTCAATATACTCATCACTTTTTGGAGGTTAAATTCTATTGAACAGGATAAACTTTTAGAGATAAAAACAATGGTAACTCATAAAATTACTAACAAAGTATGGTGTTAGTTATGCATTTAAGTAACAGTCTGAATAGAACAAATTGTTGTTTACAGCTTGACGAAAAAGAAGAAATTAAAAAATCAGAAGCTGGTAATGATGAAGACCAACAAAATGAAATCCATTTTGAGCCAATTGTCTCTTTGCCTGAAGTGACTGTCTCTACAAATGAAGAGAATGAAGAAGAATTAGTTAAATTGCGTGCTAAGCTATTCAGATTTGTGTCACATGAGTGGAAGGTAAAGATTTTTATTATTTTGTGGTCTGATTTGTACATTTAAAAAACAATTTTTATTGAAGTAGTTAAAATCTAGTACTGCTTTAGGAAAGATTCATGAATCAGCAACTTGAATTGCACTTAAAAGCTCATTTTTATACAATTTATATAAAAAAAAAGCATGAATAAGTATTAAGATTTCAAAGTTGCATTGTTTTTCAGGAACGTGGAACCGGGGAGATAAAATTACTAAGGCATTGTGAAAATAATTCTGTACGTGTAGTAATGCGGCGTGATAAAACATTAAAGATTTGTGCAAACCATTTCATAACTCCAGAAATACAGCTGAATTCTCATTGTAATTCGGAGAAGGATTTCAATTGGACATGTTTTGCCGACTTTGCGGATGAGAAGCCACAATCTGAATTATTCGCTATTAGATTTGGAAATATTGAGAGTGAGTGAAATGTTTTATTCTTAGCTTATTGTTTATACATATATCATGCTTCACAATCATTTGGAAACTTATTTATATATTAACTAAAATCCATATTATTTATTTAATTTTAGATGCCAGAGTCTGGAAAAGTAAATTTGAGGAAGCGAAGAATATAGTTAAAACTAAATGCGCATTGTATAATGGAGAAGAAACTGCAGTTAATGTAAGTTCTAAGGATGAATCCGACTCTGATAATGATTCGACAGATGGTAAAAATTCATTGGGAGGTGACGATGAATTAAACCCAACCAAATCCTTTGAAGATGATAATTCTGCTGAGAAGATTATTAAATCAGTGGAAGAATTAACAATTAAAAAAGATTGACTGTTGCAAAAAATTTTTTATAATACTGGCAAATATTTTTATTTGGCATGAATTACCATTTTTGTTGAAAAAAAAAATTATCCTAAAGAAACTTGTCTTTTTCTTCTTTTGTTAAGAACATTCATAATTCGTCTCTGGTGGAAGACTTGGCAAATGAATCCAATATATTCATTTTCAGTAACAATTGTTCTTTTTTATTTTGTGATAACTTTCCTTGTATCAAACTTTGAATTCTTTTTTGCTCATTTTCAACAAAATCTTCGCCAATTGAGATAACTTTATCCATAATTTTTATATAGTTCTTTGCAAATTGAATATTCTGAAATAAAAATATTATAATATTGATTTAATTGCTATAACTATTTCATAAAGATGCTTCATTAAATGCATTTCTATGATGGTTTTCTCAAATAATCCCATAATCAAAATTAATAATTCTAAACTGTTCCAATACCTCAAAACTGATACATGAAACAGTAAGGCTCAGGATGAGTAAACTTTGCATTTGATGAAAATAGCAAAATCAGTGTAATCATTCATTTGATAAAAATTTATACATTATTTTTTAATAATCAAAATAACAATGCTCGTAGACAATGTTTTATAACATTCGGTTCATTTTCTAAACTTTTTGTATTAGAGCTGAAGAATAAAAGTCAATTATAAAAATTCTTTATTCGTATACATTACTTCTGAATTTTGATCCTTCAGCAAAAGCTCTGCTTCTTGTTTAATTGCCGGTCTTTCATTTTTCTCGCTTAAAAATCTTGTTGCTAATTTATCATACTGTTCTATACAACCGGGTGCCCCTAAATAAACTTTAGAATTAATTTTAACAAATCGTTTTAAGTTTTCCAAAGTATATCCTTCTGATCGAGAAAATTTGATAGGCTCATCGAGCTGTCCATCTTTAAATAATAATATTGTCGGAAAATCTTCCTTTTTAATTTTATATTTATTAGCAATATTTTCATTGTCTCGATCTCCGTAATCCTTTACGCCTACTTGTGCTATTAACAAATCTTGGGATTTTGATACCTCCTTAGAAAATTTCTCATAAGTTTCATGTATATCCCCAAACGGAAATGCAATATCAAATTTGACGAGAACAGTGGGGAATACTTTGATAAGCTTATCAAAATTATACTCATCCAGTTCTACGCAACCTTTACATGCCAAGGATCTTGCGATTCGAGATGTTAAAATTAAAATCCATATAAACTTACATCCATACATATTTGTTCGAAACAAAATCATTATTGTTCAGTATAATATATTGTCGCTTTTTACCGTTAACTAATTTTAATAAAAAATAATGTTTCTTATTTTAACCAAAGAAAATAATAATAAACCGTTACTAACAAACACACGTCATCATCGTTTGGATAATTAAACAAACCGAAGCTTTGACAATCAACAAATATCCATAGGTTTTGACATTTGATTTCAGAAGTCACCTGACCACAACGAAATAAACAAAATGCAGAGCCATCTATTAACTTCCCGAATAAGTTTATTTTTTCGCGAAAAAAAATTCGATTTGCTAGTTTTATGCATAGATAAAAGAGTATATTTTATGTCTTCTGGACAAATAAAACAAATTAGTTTTATGCATAGATAAAAGAAGAGTATAGTTTTATGTCTTCTCGACGTTTCAAGTCATTCCAAATCGAATGAGGCTAAAAGTATGTTTGCGAGTGTGCGTCTCTCAAAAGCTTCTTCCAAAAGAAGAAACCGTTTCTCGTCCAAGTTTTAGCCCACAATCCTGAATCGATTTTAAACATTCAAATGTATAGTTGGAAATTGCATTGATTAGTTTTTGGTGAAGATTGCCGGGCCGGGCCTCGTAATTTAATGTTTCAAAAAAAAAATTCTGACGATTTTGATAAAACTTTGCATAACGATAGATTTCATAACATACTATAATATTATAGGCCTACGAAAAGGTAAAATGCTACTTACAATTAGTTTTATATCAGATATTTTAAAACCATTAACTAAGAGGGTGACTATCATAAACCATAGATTGACTGACTGAGGCCATAAGGCTTTTACTTACTGGTAAAATTGGAATAATTCATTAAACACATGAAAATGATGTATATGCGAAGTAAGCCGAAATGAAACTATATGTTACATAATAAATCAAAACAAATGTAGATTAATAAAATAAGCAAACGGAATAAATCCAAGGTGGCTTGTTATGGTCTCTCACTTATATTAATATTAAACTACTATTTTCAAACTTAAGAAAATTAGCATATTACTTTTCTGCATGCAAATGGTTTGGGAAAAAGATTACATTAAAAGTGCTAAACTTAATAATGGAGAGGATTGTCCACTGAAAAAGATTCATAGTTTTAAAAAATCAGAAAAGTTTTATATTCAGTAATCCTGATTAAAAAAAATATTGTCTTTAAATACTATTTATGTATAATTTCTACACAAAGTAATAAAAAATATAAAAAAATAACACATTGCTGTTTATCAGAGCTATATCGTTCCTCAACCCAGCTATATATCAATATATAACTTAATTCGAAATGCATATCGTTTACAAACTTGTCACAACCATGGTCATTACAATAATCTTAAAGTTTCATGTGGACCTTTGCAAAAGACCATCCAAATATTATTATGCAAAAAAATGCATAATGTATAGTATACTTGATGCATATCTTCAAATGATTTCTATAATACAAGGAGATTTCTATTCTTCATCAATCAATGGCGTAATAAAATATTGAATATACATCGTATCATGTTCCGTAACTATCATGATCTGAAAAATCAATAATTGCAAAAAGTTTATAATGATCATATTATATTTACTTTAAAATAAATTTCATAATGTAAACTCACTTGAATAGACAGTAATCCATCTTCATCAGTTTTCAAGCTCACCTACAGAAAAATTTGTTTATCATTCATGTTATGATTAAATTAATAATTATTATAATTAGAAGAATTGTTCACCTTGTTTGATAATTTTAAACCACGTGTCATCAATTTAATAAAAGAGTTCTTATAGCGTGATGTTGCTGATGTAGAACACCGAAATGTTTCAATAGCATCAGAAGTATTTGGAATTTCAACTTGTGATTCTTCCTGAAATATATTAAAAATGAAATATCTGCAATAATTATATTATATACAATCAATTTATATCATATATTTAATTTATATGACTAACTGTTTTTCCCTTAAATGTAATTTTCATATGTGGGGTTTCTGGACTTAAATAAATTTCGACGTAATCTGAATTGTTATCAGCATCACTGAATAATGTTGTAAGAATATCTCCTTTGAATATAACAAGATTTAGTACCGAAGATTCGGTCGATGTAAAATCTGAAACAAATGATAATTTCAAACAAAAAAATAATGGCACAGAAAGTAAATTTTGCAAGAATTTACCAAGAAGTTCTTCACAATCAATTGTTTTTAAACTACATTCAATCAACATGTCATCTTCTGAATGTTGCTCTAAACTGAAACGCATAAATGTTAATAAACCATGTAAACAGTATTATGTTGTAAAAGTTTTGAACCTACATAAGAATAAGCGGTGATCTCTCATTCTTGAAATACATTTTTAGAGTACAAAAATCTTCGCCCAGTGGTAGCATATTTAAACATTCTGTGAATATATTCAGATTTAACATAAATCTTATTTCATTTTCGTCACAATTATTAGTATTAAGATGATACAGTGAAAAACAATCACTCGGAATGTAAGCTGAGCATTGTATACATTTAGAATCTTCAACGGTAATTTTAATTCCTTCTTTCATAGCTCTAAATGTTGCATTCTACAATAAATTAAAAACATAATTAACATAAAAAGTATCATAATGCATTTAAATTTAAAATTATTGAATTATAGTGGTATTGAATAATATTAAAATTATGAGTAGCTGCATTAAAAAATATGCTTCATTAATTGACACATAATATCAATAATAAAATATAACTCAAAAAACACTTCGATAAGAAATATACTTAACCTCCTTGAAATTAATAGCTTTCACTATAGTATAAAAGGATTTGACATTTTTAATTTCAGCTGCAAAAATATTTTGTGTTAAACTATACTTCAGGGACTGCATATTGTATCTTCATGAATATTCTTTAGAATGACATTAAATTGTTGTTCAGTAATAATTTCCTCTTTATAATTCCCAGTGCACAGAGCAAGCGCAGCTGCTAAAATGTGTTTGCAAGTATATTGCTGTTGTGTTCCAAGTACTTGAAATTTAAATGAAGGACAAGAGCAGTAATTTATATTCGGAAATATTTTGTATGTCAAAGCATTTTTTCCACTTATTTCAACTATAGTAAAATTTTGCTTTTTGTATACAAGAATACAATTTCTGTCCAAGATATCAAAAGCTTTCTGAGCTACTTCCCCAAATAAATTAATTAGAGATAACATATGCTCATCTGAAACTGAAAATAAACAATTTGGTTATATAAAAAATGCTACAAATATCAATCAATATTAAATTAAAATTAGATTAGAACTTCATGTCAATTTCTTTTTTTGTCATCATATCATTCAAATCATAATCAAATATTTTTTTACAATATGCGCAATATACATCTTATTGTCCTCAACATTTTACTTTTTCATATTTTACAATTATATATAATACAATTATATTTAATATAAATAGCATTATGTGCATATTTATTAAACATATAATGTTCATTAAAATTTTTATTGTATCAAGTTGAATTTAAAATTAACTTGTATTGTCAAGCTATACATTTTAAGTAGGATTTGGATTGAACACAATAATCGATTTTGGATTTTGGATTGTCACAACAATCGATTTAGAGAAACTGACATTTTTTTCAAGAGATTAGAAATTCATTCATTTAAGTATACAACATATACAACGACAACTACGATTATTACCTAGTATTTTTACTGAAACCAGCGCAAAGAGGCTAGAAATAAAGTAATGACAATATTAATTCTTTTATGCATATGAAATAAAGTATTAATTATAGATATCGAGATATATGCTATTGATCTACAAACAATCTGTAAAAATCTATACATTTACTTTGATATGCAGGCAAATAATTTACATGCATGGAAACATATTTTATCATTTGGAAATTAAAGGTAATTGATCTGTGAACTAACTTGTCTTGTTTAATGCACTATATTCTTCGATTGCTGCTAATAATGATGATGCCACATATGGAAATAATGATAATGTTAACACCGACATTCTTTTATTCTAACGTATAATTGTTCAGTTGACATCTTTCTGGCACTTCGCACTTCTCTCCGATTTCCGAACGTCAAAAACGGTCAAACCGTCAACGATTCGAACTAACTCGAACTAAAAACCGAACTATGCCGAGTGGGCTTGTCGTTTTCGTAACGGCATAACGGCATGCCTGCCGATCTGCCGCTATATGTTTATTAACCGACTCGTCGGAAATTTAACAGTGTGAGGTTATGTATTCGATGTTTACATTTGACTCTTGCGACAAAATTAAAGAAAATAAAACAGAACCATGGTTTTAATGTTGGACAGTTCATTTGTGACAGGTTTATCAGTAGGATTAGCGATAGGTTATCTGTGCACATTAATTCAGAAGAAATTAAGTATCTCGAGAATCGATGGAGAGAACACTATTACTGAACCAGCAGATGTCGTGGTGGGCTTTAATGTATTTATTATCATTATGCTGGAGATAATTAAAATAATAATTATATCATTATGGACGACTTTATCTCTCTAATCTGTATTGCAGGACATGGATTCAGATGGAGAATATAAAATGGTATTGGTGGTTCGAACTGATTTAAAAATGGGGAAAGGAAAAGTTGCCTCTCAATGTGCTCATGCTGCCGTAGGAGCATATCAACAATGCAGAAGAAAAGACCCCAAAAGTATATAATGATATAATAATAATATTTTAAAATCATGTTTTTGTATAATTAATCATTATATGTATAACGCTTTACCAGTATCTTTGACGTTAAGGACATTTAATCATTCTTGTAATATGAATAAGACCTAATTAAACACCATTTATTGAACAAACTGGTAGTAAGTATACAGTGACAGTACTTATAAATCTGCATATTTTTTTATATAGGTTTGCGGATATGGGAAGCAAGTGGGCAAGCAAAAATAGCTGTTAAAATTGATACCGAAGAATCTATGCTTGAAGTTTTACAGAAAGCAAAAGGTTTTGGACTAATAACTAGCTTAGTTAGAGATGCTGGCCGTACACAAATTTCTCCTAATACTAAAACTGTGCTAGCTGTAGGTCCAGGACCAAAAAGTGTTATTGATCATATTACAGGAGATTTGAAATTACTTTAATTATTTCTGTAAAAAAGACATAAAAGGTGTCAAAAGTGTTTTATTTTAATTTTTATATAATATGTACAGTAAGAGCAATAATATTAATTAAATGAACACATCATTGAAATCTAATTTACTTAAACTATTGATTAGAGGATAAACACAGATACATACAATGAAGCTCACATTAAAGGTAAATTTCAATCACATTCACATAGACCGTGTGCACACCATTAACTAAATTATATAATATAGTTTTTTCACATTAATTTAAGACTAAGCTTTAAAAATATATTGCACCATTTTTACAATCCAAAATTTACATAATGTCCTGCTTCATTTTATCTTAAAATATCCAAACAAATCGCAAACAAACCACAACTCTAATTTGGCATAAAAAAAGAAATAGCAAGACTGAATGCTAAATGAATAAAAAGGAAAGGAAACTAAGACACTCCAAACTTGTTTCCAAGTCATCTCAATCATTTAAATAATTATCGCATTATTAAAAATACCCTATTTGAGCTTTAAATAAAACGCAATATTTTGTTCAACTGAACATACTTAGTCTTCTATAATGAACAACAAGCAAGGAATGCATTATTGAATCTATTTAATACAGTTTATACTTGTTCATTAAGGAAAAAATTACTGAAAGTTTGCAGTTACAACAATTTTTATCAATTAAAATTAAAAATCAATAGTTAATATCATAGATGATTAAATGCACTTGTATCTTTTACGATTTTACAGCAATGACTCCTACTATTGACAAAAGGATTTGTAGTATTGAAATTGCTTCAGCTTTAATACCACTAAAGTAAATGATAATACTTTATGCATTCATATTTTTTTAAAGATATCCTGACTTTGTGCAACTCCCATCAAAGAATTAAGGATTTTTTTTCGCAAGTAAAATGTTTACTTGGTTTGTAATCATTTGAACTATGAAGAAAATATAAAGGCCAAATCATTTGTCTGAAAGAGGCATTTTAGTTGCAATAGCATATGTTAAAGAATCATATATATATAATATATATATATATATATATATATATATATATATGCATATATATATATATAATTATTACATATGGATATTTCTTCAAGTGGATATACTTTCACATACAAGTCATTCACAATTCAACTTATAAACTAATAGCAGTTTTGCTTTGTACAATCTGTTTGTTTCCCCCATCCAATCCAATTTGGCAAAATACCCATATTATTATAATATATATGCATGCTTTGTATTGAATTTCAATTTCAAATGTTCTGAACCAAAGTTGAAGATGACTAAGGCTTTTCAATTTACTATTTTTTTTAAACCAATAATCTCTAAATTTTTATTCCTGAGTATTACTTAACTGACATTATTAAAGCTACTCAATCCACTTTATAAAAACAGTTTAAAATGTCATTATAGAAAACTGTACTGGTTTTCCACTGCACGAACTTCGCAATTTTCCAATATTTCATGGGACCTTAGTCGGATGTCAGCCATATTAAATGGGCCCTAGTGAATAGAACTTTTGATTAAAAATAATGTTTGCCACATTTTGTTAATTTGAAATTGATTCCAATTTCACAAATTCTTTGTTACTCACTTTTAATAAAACAAATTGCATATGCACACACATTATATATATATATATATATATATATATATATATATATATATATGAGTAAGTTCTTCAAGGGCATACATCAAATAAAAGGTAAAGATTTAGAAGTTAATCTTTAATTGTTTTCCAAACGTTTCGACATAGGATTTTATGTCATCATCAGTGAATCTACAGAATGAACCATATTTATGTAAGTTACCTTTGTTGTTTATATATTTGTAAGTGTTTGTTTAGAAACTAGAAAAAATTGACAGAAATTGAAAAAAGAACTATAGATACAAGTATTATGTTATAACAACAATAACAATAATACTTGTATATATAGTTTTTTTTCAAATTTCTGTCAATTTTTCCTAGATTATATTAATTTCTCAATGTTCACTCGTAGATCCACTGATGATGACATAAAATCCTATGTCGAAACGTTTGGAAAAAATTAAAGATTAACTTCTAAATCTTTGCCTTTTATTTGATGTATTGCCCTTGAAGAACTTACTCGTATATATATATATATATATGTGCGTGTATGTATTATATATGTTTATACATAAACATGACATGTAAACACCCGCCCGACACCGTTTCAAAACAACCTATCAGCAACACGGCGTTGCATTCTGGTGAAAACGTAGCTGCTGTAAGCTTGATTTTATTGTGTATATTATATAATTTGTCTTAAATGAATTTGTGGACACTGAAGAACATACATTTACAATAATATCTAAATTTATTTTCTGTAGTATTAGTGTGACAGTTTTGTTTTATTATTCCACAGAAGAAAAAGTGTAATATATCGTTTTTCATATGTCCGCCTTTTCTGATGAAAATTCAGCTTTACTAATTGCTCGGCCGTTTTTCCTTATTTAGGAACAAGAAATCAATAAATAACAGCAAAAAATACTAATAGCAAATTTTGAAAAGAGAACGCTGTCTTATCATTGCATAGATTTATTTTCTATTGTGCTTGACGCTTCAATACGAACTGAGTCATTCAATATGTATACAAACTGCAGAGAACCTCAGAGGAGACAGCTGAGCGCACAGACCAACTTACGTTATCCCCAAAAGGATACAGCCGGGCCCAAAGGCTAGAACTCGGTTTGAAGCATTTAGCTTGAACTAAGTTTGTGTACATTCATACAAATATATACACATACTTTCATACATAAACATATCATTACTTTATAGACGTGATACATATTCTGAAAACTGAAGCATATAAACAGTGATAAAACATATATGACTTTTTAGAACACTGATATAGTGCCATATATCTATGTCTGTTCAACATATATCAGAATTCAAAGCACATTAGGAAAGTATGCCAAAGTGCTCTGTCTGCTGCTTAATTAATGCAATCTTTAGTGAATTACTGCTTTAGTCAATAAAAATTTTCAACATTGTCATGTTTTTATATAAACAAATTTTATAGATTAATTTTGGGATAACTAACTAATACAAAATTGATTTATATCAAGATAATAATCAAGAATAAGAAAAAAATAGTGTGATATTGATATACTTTTGTTACAGAATTAATATTATTGATAGATATTATCATGCAGAAAATGAAGAGAAAAAGGCATTGCATAATAATAAGGTAAACCACAAATAAATGAACTGCAAACCAGGTAAAATGTCATAAAACAAAACTGCATACAAAGTTGACTGCAACATTTGATGTCCTAAATTCTAACTAATAAGTATCAAATTTGAAAATTCTATTTTAAAAATTTACTTAAAAAAAAAAGAAATTATGTCATAGTCACCAGGAATCAAAAGTAAAACAGGGACCATTTAAATATTATATAGTAATGTTATTTTGTATGAAACTCCTGTTAATAGTAGAAAGAAGTAATTTATAATATTCTCATATTCAGGCTTTAATCATAATCTCCATGAATTAATTCTTGCATAATATATTTCATTACAATGGTTAAGTACTTATTGGACTGCAGTTCAAAATCTATCCAAAAAGATGAATTACAAATAAATTAGTGACTCAAGTTCTGTAAGTGTGGAAACTTACATTCAAACTTAATCATAATGTATGTAAAAGTTACAGAACACAAATCTTATAAATTTTTTATGTAAAACCTGCAACTACTTTCTGATACTTCTATAATTAATTGACCATACCATGTTCCCAAAAAATAATAAGTCTCAAAATTACTTTGAAATTAAAATAATTTATAAGTTCATAAATAAGTAAACGCTAAAAAGGAATATTGATCAATAATGATTTGCTTAATACTGAACAATATATTTTTTCATATCCCAAATTAAAATCTCTACTGAAATGTGTCCTATGTTCTATAGCTATCAAGGAGCCATACAAAATCATGATATAATATCCAAAAAGGAAGACAGAAAAAGCTTTGGCAATAATTAGACAAAGAATTTGAACATTAGTTCCAAAAAAAACAATGTAGAATTATGCAAAAAATATGTATACAATAATTCTATTAATATTTAAACGACCCCTAAAATACAATAAAGCATTTCATACAGCAAACGTAAAGTGAAAAAAAAAGAAAATAAAATAAGATTTTACGTACACCAATTGTGAGGTTTTTGGTTTAAGATCTCACTTGAGAATTGTTAAGAGCACCATCGCCATACACCACATAATCAGTAAGAGTCACATCTGAAGTTCCACCACTCTCTAATGGTATAGGATTCTGTCTAAAATGATCTAGCATATCAAATATAGTAGGAAACCATAGGTGCTGCACTCTGCATTGGCCTTGTTCATTCAGGGTCATGCGCAAATGTTTTGCTCGCCCCTGAAATTTTTCAACAAATATAAAATAGATCTTTTTATATTATATCCAAGAAAAATGTATTTAAATAGCATTTAGGTAGAAAGAAAACTGTCATTAAATATCTTGTTTATACCTGATTCACATGCAAAATTGGCAATTGCCTACTACACGAAATGAATTGATTATTTTTCCTTACCTGGAAATTAAAAGTGAGAACAAATTCTCCTTGCCTTGTTTCACTTTGTCGGACTAGAAATACACCATGACCAGAAGAGCCACTATGTAAAACTTGCTGAGCTGCTTCAGATCTCGCCAATGTCCCATGAAACCAAGGATATTCTCTTAACTGAGATGTAAGTTCTGTATCTGTTTCAGGTACTGATAAATAAAAAAAAAAGTTAAAAATTAATTTAGCTAAAATACAAATGACAATACATTGAATTCCCATCATAGGTTTGCAGATAATGGCATATCGAATTGAATATAATTTTAGTTTATAATTTGAAGATGTACCAGGTTCGAGATCCTCTCCAAGTTCAAAATTACTTGAACTTGAAATTCTGTCTCCTGCTCTCCTTGGTGGTAACTCTGGAACTAAAGCATCAGCACCTGAATCGCCCACACCTGAAGAAGGAGAAGTAGGATTTCCAGAAGCATTGTTTGTGTTGTGAGATGCATTCAAAGCCATTGGAGGGCTTCTCATACAGTATTTTATTGTTGCTAACCAAGATCTCATGTCATCGGTATCGTGAGCTTCAATAACATATTCCATATTGTTGTCTGCCTAAAGGTTAGGAAATTGAAATAAATAAAATATGTAAAACATATACAAAAATAAAGTACATGATACATTAAAAATTAATAATAAGAAGCAGGCATAACTATAATATTTGTTAGATTAAAAATTTTAATTGTCATTATTTTGTAATGACAAATATTAGTTTCTGCATTACAAAGTTTTTTTTTCTATATCTGCTTATATGAAAAAAATACAACAGAAAATGCCATATACCTTCAAGACAAATGTGTTCTCATGATCAGGCATTTCAAGTGCTGTGGTTTCTCGGGCTTCAGTAACAAGAAAACAAAATACTCCACTTCTTGGCTGAAAATATTTTCTCATGAACAGGGCTCATACAGATTATATATATATATATATATATATATATATATATATATATATATATATACAAATTTGTTGTGAATGCCATAGTAATTATGAGCTAAAAAATATTCATATCCCATATTTTATCATATAAGCTGGTTAAGTTTTAATCTTTTTGTATAATTTAATTATTTACCTTTGTTGCTTTTGGTGGAGAATAAAATTCTAGCATGTAGCCTCCGACAGTTTTAACTAAAGCCAATCGACATCTTTCCCATTTCTGTGGCCCCCCAGGTTGCTCTAAGCTTTCAGGGGTCAGATAATTAACTAAACCTTCCTTTCTACATTCTACAACAATCTTTGCTAATTTAGTTTTAGCTTGGCGCCCTGACACATCGCTGTCATCAGAATTTTGCTTATTGAAGAAGTTTCTACCTTTTCGAAGACCTTTAAAACTCAATCTTCTAAAAAATGGTTTATGTTGTGTTTTAGGACTATCTGTGTCCTCGCTATAATCGCTCTCTTCTAATACTGTTGACCCGTTTGTTAACTTGTGATTTTGATGCAAACGACGTTTAATATTGAAATCTATTTCAAATTGTTCTTGAAAACATTCAATAAACTTTTTCATAAAATCTCTGTGAGAGACACTGTTCCTAGCGTTTTCCGGTAGATTTACGGCAATATATTGTACACAGGCTTTAGCAAAATCTTGAGACATTAATTTTGCATGACGCTCGCAAAATTCTGCCCAGCCTCCATCCATTTCGGCTGGTCCTAGAGCACTAGCCATTTTCCATTAGTTCTTTTATAGATTTTAATTATTAACTAAGATTTACATAACAATAACATCATACTATCATATTAATATGCTTTGCAAACGATCAAGAAGATAAATTAACTCTATTGCGTTTTTAGCATATTATACAAACAACGGACAAGTTCACATATATCAATGCTTTAACATCGATGAAAAACAGACATCGTGAATAAATTGATCCGACATCTGTTGACAAAAACGACAATTACAACGAGAATACTGAAACAAACATTTCTAGCATAGGTATATTGGTATATTCACACTTTATTATATTTTGAATTATTTGATCACATAATAAAATCAATTAGTAAATTGAGAGATATCAAGAAAATTTTGACACTATAGTTTATTCTGTTTTACTGTATGTTGACTTTAAATACACTTTTTCGAATTTTGAATTTTGAAGTCAAATATTTAATACTAGTTGCTGTCGGGAGCAGCAATTTGACCTGACAGCGGTGGCGAATTTGATCGATTGTCATCGGTGTAGATTGTAGTAAACGGCAGTATTCTATCTTCTTTCGCATCCAAAAATTCCCGTTTGCATTTTTCTATATTAGAAATTTTAGCTTTTATTAGCGAATTCATTCCTTTTTTTACACCATTCATTATCTACATGACTAATTTTACCTGAATTAGCGTAAGAATTTATAATATCGCCCTTTTGACCTTCTTCACGAACATCAGAAAGTGTTTGAACATCATGGGTCGAAATTATTTTACCAAAATTATGATTCAAATCACTGTCCACTTCTTGTGAAATTTGATCAGAATGCAAAAGTAAGTCATTTTTATTATCACAATTGTTAGAAGCTGATTTCTCAAGATTGTGTGATAAAATGTCATTTTTACGTTCCAACGTTATCATTTTTGTTAATTCTGGACTAAAACTAACAATAGGTCCCTTATGATTATTTTTAGTTTCGTCTATTCTTAGTGATTTACCTTCTATGAAATCTGGCGTGTCAATTCGTGTTTCATTTTCTTGACGAATTAAATCATCACTAGCGAGTTCATTACTTCTGAGAGTCGTTGGATTTATTACATCTATACTTTGTTGCAAGTTAGAATTTTGTTTACTAGCTTGTTCCATTATAATAATGCTTTTATTTCTATGATCATTTCCTGCATTTGTCTTTTCTTCGGCGTGGTTTATGTACTTTTCAATTTTCGTAACTGGAAAATTGAGTGGTATATTTGGCTGATATTCAATAGTAGTTGTGCCATCTGAGCTTAATTGCATACTTTCAGTGAAGACAGCTGTGTTATTATGAAAGAGCATTTCATCAAATTGTTTAAGGAACTTGTTTTTTTCTATACCGATTACAGAATTTGCTTGCGTTCTGGAAAAGCCTTTTTTCTTATTTTTGAGTTTATTGAGTTTATCATTTTTCATTGCTCTCAGCTTTAATGGCCATCTGTTTCCACTAACTTTAAGACGCCCCGTATCGATTTGGTCAGTTATATTTTTTATCATTTGCTCTTTCCACTCATCATCATCGCCATGTTTACGTAATTCTTCGCTGATCACTAATGGTAATAGACCCGTATGGGCTGGCTGTTCAGAATTTTCTGCAAATGCAATTGATTCTTCCGCATTTGTTGTCTTATTTTGTTGTACCGCACTTGCTGAATTCCTTGATAATCTTTGAAAGCTATCCATAGAATCGGCAGAATAATTGGAAGACAAACTGTTTTTATGAAGAGTGGTATTTTGCCCTGATTTAATTTGTTGTGCGTGCAAATTAGATTCTTTCTCGGGATTAATTACTCTATCATCTTTATTTGTTTCCGTAGGATTATAATCTTTAAAAAGGTCTTCATTATCATCATAAAATTTCTTGATTTCTTCTGTATCTTCCATATCTTTCTGATCGCCATTGTCAACATATATTTCGCGCTTTGCGCTGTAATTATTATTGTATTTTAATTTGCCATAAACAATATTTAAATCCGATTCTTCTTTTTTGTTTGATTTGACAACAGTATCAGTATTATTTTCTTTATTATTCGATTTGATGATGATATCAATAACTTTCGTTCCATTTTTCAGTGGCGACATATTCTTTCTATTTTCTTCTTTTTTGGTCGATTTGGTGATGTTATCAATAACTTCCCTTCCATTATTCATTGGTGTCATTTGCTTTTTATTTCCTTCTTTCCTAGCCGATTTGCCTTGAGTGATTTCCATTTCATTTTTCATTGTATAACTAGGCGTTGAAACCATACTTTCATCCTTTTCTGTAGTAAGTGGCATCATATGTTTTTTATTTTCATCTTCCCTATTTGAATTGTCCTGACTGATAGTATTATTTTTTTTATTGTTCGATTTGGTGATGTTATCAATAACTTTCGTTCCATTATCCAGAATATAACTAGGCGTTGAAACGATATTTTCATCATTTTCTGTAGTAATCTGCGCCATATGTTCTTTATTTTCATCTTCCCTATTTGAATTGTCCTGACTGATAGTATTATTTTTTTTATTGTTCGATTTGGTAATATTATCAATAACTTTCGTTCCAATATTCAGTGGCGTCTTATGCTTTTTATTTTCTTCTTTCCTAGTCTTTTTGTCTTGAGTAATGGTATTATTTTCTTTTTTGTTCGATTTGGTGAAGTTACCAGTAACTTTTGTTACATTATCCAGTGTATAACCAGGCGTTGAAACGATATTTTCATCATTTTCTGTAGTAATCTGCGCCATATGTTCTTTATTTTCTTCTTTCTTATTTGAATTGTCTTGACTGATAGTTTTATTTTCTTTATTGTTCAATTTGATAATATTATCAATAACTTTCGTTCCATTATTCAGTGGCGTCTTAGGTTTTTTATTTTCTTCTTTCCTAGTCGTTTTGTCTTGAGTAATGGTATTATTTTCTTTTTTATTCGATTTGGTGAAGTTACCAGTAACATTTGTTCCATTATTCAGTGGCGTCTTAGGTTTTTTATTTTCTTCTTTCCTAGTCGTTTTGTCTTGAGTAATGGTATTATTTTCTTTTTTATTCCATTTGGTGAAGTTACCAGTAACATTTGTTCCATTATCCAGTGTATAACCAGGCGTTGAAAGTATACTTTCATCATTTTCTGTAGTAATCGGCGCCAAATGTTTTTTATTTTCTTCTTTCTTATTTGAATTGTCTTGACTGATAGCTTTATTTTCTTTATTGTTCGATTTGGTAATATTATCAATAACTTTCGTTCCAATATTCAGTGGCGTCTTATGCTTTTTATTTTCTTCTTTCCTAGTCGTTTTGTCTTGAGTAATGGTATTATTTTCTTTTTTGTTCGATTTGGTGAAGTTACCAGTAACTTTTGTTTCATTATCCAGTGTATAACCAGGCGTTGAAACGATATTTTCATCATTTTCTGTAGTAATCTGCGCCAAATGTTCTTTATTTTCTTCTTTCTTATTTGAATTGTCTTGACTGATAGTTTTATTTTCTTTATTGTTCAATTTGATAATATTATCAATAACTTTCGTTCCATTATTCAGTGGCGTCTTAGGTTTTTTATTTTCTTCTTTCCTAGTCGTTTTGTCTTGAGTAATGGTATTATTTTCTTTTTTATTCGATTTGGTGAAGTTACCAGTAACATTTGTTCCATTATTCAGTGGCGTCTTAGGTTTTTTATTTTCTTCTTTCCTAGTCGTTTTGTCTTGAGTAATGGTATTATTTTCTTTTTTATTCCATTTGGTGAAGTTACCAGTAACATTTGTTCCATTATCCAGTGTATAACCAGGCGTTGAAAGTATACTTTCATCATTTTCTGTAGTAATCGGCGCCAAATGTTTTTTATTTTCTTCTTTCTTATTTGAATTGTCTTGACTGATAGCTTTATTTTCTTTATTGTTCGATTTGGTAATATTATCAATAACTTTCGTTCCAATATTCAGTGGCGTCTTATGCTTTTTATTTTCTTCTTTCCTAGTCGTTTTGTCTTGAGTAATGGTATTATTTTCTTTTTTGTTCGATTTGGTGAAGTTACCAGTAACTTTTGTTCCATTATCCAGTGTATAACCAGGCGTTGAAACGATACTTTCATCATTTTCTGTAGTAATCGTCGCCAAATGTTTTTTATTTTCTTCTTTCTTATTTGAATTGTCTTGACTGATAGCTTTATTTTCTTTATTGTTCGATTTGGTAATATTATCAATAACTTTCGTTCCAATATTTAGTGGCGTCTTATGCTTTTTATTTTCTTCTTTCCTAATCGTTTTGTCTTGAGTAATGGTATTATTTTCTTTTTTGTTCGATTTGGTGAAGTTACCAGTAACTTTTGTTCCATTATCCAGTGTATAACCATGCGTTGAAACGATATTTTCATCATTTTCTGTAGTACTTGGCGCCAAATGTTCTTTATTTTCTTCTTTCCTATTTGAATTGTCTTGACTGATAGTATTATTTTGTTTATTGTTCGATTTGGTAATATTATCAATAACTTTCGTTCCAATATGCAGTGGCGTCTTATACTTTTTATTTTCTTCTTTCCTAGTCGTTTTGTCTTGAGTAATATTATTTTCTTTTTTGTTCGATTTGGTGAAGTTACCAGTAACATTTGTTCCATTATCCAGTGTATAACCAGGCGTTGAAACGATACTTTCATCATTTTCTGTAGTAATCGGCGCCAAATGTTTTTTTATTTTCTTCTTTCTTATTTGAATTGTCTTGACTGATAGCTTTATTTTCTTTATTGTTCAATTTGGTAATATCATCAATAACTTTCGTTCCATTATTCAGTAGAGTCTTAGGTTTTTTATTTTCTTCTTTCCTAGTTATTTTGTCTTGAGTATTGGTATTATTTTCTTTTTTGTTCGATTTGGTGAAGATACCAGTAACTTCTGTTCTATTATCCAGTGAATAACTGGGCGTTGAAACGATATTTTCATCATTTTCTGTAGTAATCGGCGCCAAATGTTCTTTATTTTCTTTTTTCCTATTTGAATTGTCTTGACTGATAGTATTATTTTCTTCATTGTCTGATTTGGTAATACTGTCAATAACTTTCGTTCCATTATTCAGTGGCGTCTTAGGCTTTTTATTTTTTTCTTTCCTGGTCCATTTGACTTGAGTAATGGTATTATTTTCTTTATCATTCGATTTGGTGATGTTAGCGATATTTTCATCATTTTCTGTTAAAAATGGCGTCATATGTTTTTTATTTTATCATTTGAAACCCTTTGTTCAGTGAAATTTTGCTCTAATTGTTTTAGAGCAACAGTTGTGTGTTTATTTAATTTTGGTAAATTTGCTGATGTTTTGTGTGATTTCATTACAGATATGTTTGATAAATCGTTTTTAAATTCTGAGTGGCTTTCATCATCTAATTCTGATTCTGCTTCATCAGCGAGTCTCTGATATGCTGTAAATTCTTCTGGTGTAAGAGCACTTAAAACACCCAAAAAATCTTTATATGGCATATCATTGTAATTACACTCATTGTCATTCCACTTGATTGTTTTAAGATATTCATTTGATAATATGTCATCACCTTGTTTTATCATAATCTGGCCATGAAATGGCATATTCGTATCTGAGTCATTGAATTTAATAGCATTTCTTTTCATTTTTGGCGAACAGATGTAAATGAGTTTTTTCGCAACACCTGATTTTTTTGTAACATTTTTTTCTAAATAGTTTTTTTCATTCGCATTTGTAGAAACATCTCCTCTAGAATCATATTTCTTTTCATTTGCATTAGTATAGATATCATCATTGTTTTTCTTTTTATCTGTTCGATTTTCAGTAATTACTTCCGTTATGTTAGTGTCTTGAATATCCTTATTTTGGCAGAGTTCATGAGGTGATATATTATGCGATAAACCATTATAATATTCAATGTTAGTGGCGTCATTTACATCACTATCTTCATGTGGAGTAGTACTGAATATTTTCCTTGTTAGGATTTTATCTAGGGCACCATCTTCGCGAAAATCATGGTTTACTTCATTTTCGATCGTACAGGTTCTAGACCTGTCATTTTTTTCCTTTTCATCTGTTCGATTTTCGGTATCTACTTCCATTATTTTAGGGTGTTGGACATCTTTATTTTGGTAAATTTTATAAGGTGACATGGTATTCGACAAGCCATTATTATAATCCAAGTTTATGACATCGTTTATATCGATATTTTCCTGTGGGGTAAAACTGATTATTTTCCTTATTGGAGTTTTATCCAGGACAGCATCTTCTTGAGAAACGTGATATACTTCATTTTCGTTCGTACAGGTTCTATATGCACAATTTTTGTTCTTTTCTTCTGTTTGATTTTCAATATCTACTTCCATTATTTTAGAATCTTGGACATGTTTACTTTGATAGATTTAAAAGGTATATCGTTTACATCAATTTGTTTCTGTTGGGTTTTAATTAGTATACCCATTATAGGAGTTTTATCTAAGTTAGCATCTTTTCGAGAATAATGATTTACTTCATTTTCACTCGTACAAATTTTAACAGCGCCATTTTTTTTCTTTTCATTTGTTTGATTTTCAGTATCTGCTTCCATTGTTTTAGAATCTTGGTCATCTTTATTTTGGTTTATTTTAAAAGGCATATCGTTAACATCAATTTGTTCCTGTGGTGTTTTAATTTGTATTTCATTATCTTTTTGAGAATCATGATTGACTTCCTTTCACTCGTACAAATTTTAACAGCGCCATTTTTTTCCTGTTCATTTGTTTGATTTTAGTATCTGCTTCCATTGATTTAGAATCTTGGTCATCCTGATTTTGGTTGATTTTAAAAGGTATATCGTTTACATCAATTTGTTTCTGTTGGGTTTTAATTAGTATACCCATTATCAGACCTTTATCTAAGTTAGCATCATTTCGAGAATCATGATTTACTTCATTTTCACTCGTACAAATTTTAACAGCGCTATTTTTTTCCTTTTCATTTGTTTGATTTTCAGTATCTGTTTCGATTGTTTTAGAATCTTGGTCATCCTTATTCTGGTTGATTTTAAAAGGTATATCATTTACATGAATTTGTTTCTGTTGGGTTTTAATTAGTATACCCATTATAGGAGTTTTATCTAAGTTAGCATCTTTTCGAGAATAATGATTTACTTCATTTTCACTCGTACAAATTTTAACAGCGCCATTTTTTTTCTTTTCATTTGTTTGATTTTCAGTATCTGCTTCCATTGTTTTAGAATCTTGGTCATCTTTATTTTGGTTTATTTTAAAAGGTATATCGCTTACATCAATTTGTTCCTGTGGTGTTTTAATTTGTATTTCATTATCTTTTTGAAAATCATGATTTATTTCCTTTCACTCGTACAAATTTTAACAGCGCTATTTTTTCCTTTCATTTGTTTGATTTTCAGTATCTACTTCCATTGTTTTAGAATCTTGGTCATCCTGATTTTGGTTGATTTTAAAGGTATATCGTTTACATCAATTTGTTTCTGTTGGGTTTAATTAGTATACCCATTATAGGAGTTTTATCTAAGTTAGCATCTTTTCGAGAATCATGATTTACTTCATTTTCACTCGTACAAATTTTAACAGCGCTTTTTTTCCTTTCATTTGTTTGATTTTCAGTATCTGCTTCCATTGTTTTAGAATCTTGGTCATCCTTATTTTGGTTTATTTTAAAAGGTATATCATTTACATCAATTTGTTTCTGTGGGTTTTAATTAGTATACCCTTATAGGAGTTTTATCTAAGTTAGCATCTTTTCGAGAATCATGATTTACTTCATTTCATTGTTGTTGACATCAATTTGTTCTGTGGGGTTTTAATTTGTGTTTCATCACCTTTTTGAGAATCATGATTTACTTCATTTTCACTCGTACAAATTTTAACAGCGCCATTTTTTTCCTTTTCATTTGTTTGATTTTCAGTATCTATTTCCATTGTTTTAGAATCTTGGTCATCTTCATTTTGTTTATTTCAAAAGGTATATCGTTACATCAATTTGTTCCTGTGGGGTTTTAATTTGTATTTCATTATCTTTTTGAGAATCATGATTTATTTCCTTTTCACTCATACAAATTTTAACAGCGCCATTTTTTTCCTTTTCATTTGTTTGATTTTCAGTATAATTTCCATTGTTTTAGAATCCTGGTCATCTTTATTTTGGTTTATTTTAAAAGGCATATCGTTGACATCAATTTGTTCTGTTGGGTTTTAATTAGTACCCATTATAGGATTTTATCTAATTATCTTTCGAGAATCATGATTTACTTCATTTTCACTCGTACAAATTTTAACAGCGCCATTTTTTTCCTGTTCATTTGTTTGATTTTCAGTATCTACTTCCATTGTTTTAGAATCTTGGTCATCTTTATTTTGGTTTATTTTAAAAGGCATTCGTTAACATCAATTTGTTCCTGTGGTGTTTTAATTTGTATTTCATTATCTTTTTGAGAATCATGATTTACTTTCTTTTCACTCGTACAAATTTCAACAGCGCCATTTTTTTCCTTTTCATTTGTTTGATTTTCAGTATCTACTTCCATTGTTTTAGAATCTTGGTCATCTTGATTTTGGTTGATTTTAAAAGGTATATCGTTTACATCAATTTGTTTCTGTTGGGTTTTAATTAGTATACCCAATATAGGAGTTTTATCTAAGTTAGCATCTTTTTGAGAATCATGCTTTACTTCATTTTCACTCGTACAAATTTTAACAACGCCATTTTTTTCCTTTTCATTTGTTTGATTTTCAGTATCTACTTCCATTGTTTTAGAATCTTGGTCATCTTCATTTTGGTTTATTTTAAAAGACATGTCGTTAACATCAATTTGTTCCTGTGGGGTTTTAATTTGTATTTCATCACCTTTTGAGAATCATGATTTACTTTCTTTTCACTCATACAAATTTTAACAGCGCCATTTTTTTCCTTTCATTTGTTTGATTTTCAGTATCAATTTCCATTGTTTTAGAATCTTGGTCATCTTTATTTTGGTTTATTTTAAAAGGCATATCGTTGACATCAATTTGTTCCTGTAGTGTTTTAATTTGTATTTCATTATCTTTTTGAAATCATGATTTACTTCCTTTTCACTCGTACAAATTTTAACAGCGCCAT